GTAGTCCCCTTTGCTCCGGAAAGTGAAGGGAGCCCAGGACTAGCAGGAGAACAAGGGAGGAGCAAGAGAAAAGATTAAGTTCCCTTTTGGAGAAGAAGGGAAGAGAGAAGAGAAAAAGACGGGAGAAGGACTGAAGGTTACTCGTAGAGCTGGGAAAGGCAGGAAAAGGAGGATATTAAAAGAGAACAGGTGGAGCAAGGGCAAAAGAAGTGAGAGAGAAGAAGAGGTAGAAGCTGTAGCAGCAGAAAAGGAGGGCAAAGAAGTGCTAGAGGGCTGGGAGCAGATTTGGCTTTAGAATCCCTGGACCCAGAAGTGGAAAAGGTTTATGATGCCACGGGAAGACGGGAAGGGCATCACAATAGTCAATCCCCTCAAAAACCACCATCCTGGGGAGAAAAGGAAAGCTGGGAATGGAGTTGTAAGATATGGGAAGAAAGCGCCCGTATTGTGAGAGGAAAGAGGGAGAGAGAGGAAGAGAAGAAGTGGCCTCCTATCAAGACAATTCACCCACCAGATGGAAGGGAATCACCCTGACAAGACAGACCATTGGGGCCAGGGACTAGGGGATGGATGCATCACTGCTCCTGTTATCCATGCAGGAGTTGGGAAACCCATGGGAAGAACTGAAAGGGGCATCCAAGAGGAGTCCAGACCTCGATGAGTTGAACAACCCATGGAACCCTTTCACACACATACACACACACACACCTGTTGGGTGAGGAAGGGAAAGTTGAAGCTTTACTGCTTGTAAATATGGTAACTACGAAGTTAGAAGTAAATGTTAATGGTTTGAAATGAGAACCTGAATCTGGACTGTCTGTTGAAGGGAGTAAAAAAGAGGGGTTCTGATGTGAACCCTCACACGGGTGTTTCACAATACAGCGGGGGCAGGGGCAGGTGAAATGGGGAAGGAAGCGGAGAGCGTCAGAATCGCAGATGCTAGGCAAATAACTGCATGCCTCTTGCCCACTGTTAAATGGGGAGGAGGAGGAAGAAGTATGTCTCTGTGTGTGTGTGTGTGTGTGTGTGTGTGTGTGTGTGTTTGTGTGTGTGTGTGTGTGTGTGTACACACACACATGTACGTGTACCATGCTGACTTGGCAGCTGCTTCCATAAAATGGGGGACAGGGGATGGCAGTCTTCATGGTGACACACTGTGAGAGAAACAAGACTAATTCCAATAACAAAGGGGCTGTCTTGTTTCTAAAATACTGTAAGCTCATGGGGGCTTAAAAATCACATGCTGCCAAAGCATCTTAGGCAGATACACAACCGAGCCGGAAAATGTGTGTTCGACGCAGCTGTACTCTGTCTTGTTTATGCACACTTCTCTTTGCCCAAACACTTTGTGCTCTTACATGATTTTGCATTCATTCTGTGGCTCAACTGTCCCATTTATGAAACATGACAGGCATTGTCTTTGTCTCAGTGGGTTGTCCCAGCTCAGGAGAAGTGTCCAGAATCTCTCCCGCTAGACCCATGTCCCCCTAGACAAGCAGGAGAGATGCATCACTAGTGGAAGACGGGCTGTGTCCGTGACCACAAATGTTCCTTACCTAGTTCCAGACATGAGTTGGGGAGGTGATGGAGATAAACACAGTTATGTTTTCAGTGACCTCCCTAAGGGACAAGGGTTGGGGACATCCATTCTGCTCCTTTTCTAAGCCTGCATGCACCTCTTGTTTTCCAACAGGAGACTTAAAAAGCTCTCCTGCTGATCTTCTTGTCTCGACCACCAAAATATCCTCCCATTGTTCCTGTCTCAAATAATGCTTTGTAAATCGAATTATGCCACTCGTTGCTTCTCTGTTCAGTTTTTGTGTTCGAATGGTTTAAAGAAATGTATATCAGCAAGAAATTGGTCCTAGATGAATCTACAGTAGAGAAGTAATCTTACCAATCCCGAAGTTCTTTGCTTCAATCAGAATTCATATCACATGTGAACAAGATTCAGCCCTAAAAGTCTTTGGTAAATCCCAGTACACCGATCACATCACATTTCTCCTGCTGCTCCTATACATCACCTGCTCTGGGGTTGTGGTTGTTGTTGTTGTTTTTAATCCTTCAACATGAGAAAAGAATGAGGTCTTTACAACAAGAACTCAAGTGCCAGCCTGGCTCAGCCTGAAGGCCAGCCTAGTCCAGTCGTGACCAGCCAGTTGTTTATAGGAAGGCTGCAAGCAGACCATGAGCTCAGAAGTTCATGCTTCTCCTTAGTCATGTTCCCTAGCAACTGCTGCCATTCAGAGACATACTGATACTCCCTCTAATACTATCCAAATGCAAAAATAAGCGACACCTTTATAGGTCACTGAAAATCATCACATAATAATCAGGCTTTCGTGGATTAAACACTTCATCAAGACTGTACCAGTGTGAAGAACCTAAAGTCCAAAACTTAAAAATCCACAAAAGCTAGTTTATTGTGCAATGCTTTTTTTATTAGTCTAGTATTGCCTATTTTTGCATTGGATTTTATTTTGTTATGACCTCCCAGCTACCTTTTACTTCAGTGGAGCTACAAGGATACTAAGAAACAGCCCCAGCTGTAGCCATAAAGCAGCAACCAGACTCCTCACCTCCATCTAAGAGAGAAAAGCGAATTGCCAAGAACTGCTGGACTTATCTAAAAGCAAATTTCCTGGCAAAAAAACCCACATCTTGCAATGTACTTTCAACCAGAAAGTTTGGACTTTAGGTTCTTCGCCCTGATACAATCCTGATGAAGTGGTATTTCATCCATGAAAACGTGTTCACTAGGTGATGGTTTTTTAATGGCCTATAAAGGTATCACCTACTTTTGCATTTGGATTTTATTTTGTTATGACCACATGACTGCCCTTTCCCTCTAATACTGAAGGTGATTTAGTAGCCATTGATAGGCTTCTCTTTCTTAGAAATGCTGCTCATTTCAACATGAGATGAATGAAGCCTGCAAGGGAATGCCTTAATAACACTTCCACTTACAAATGGGGAACAGAGAGCCTTAAAATTATTATTTGGATGAGGCCAGGCAGCAAGTCTGCGGCAGAAGATCAGCAAAAATGAGTTTTGGCTTAATTCTAGATTATAGTGAAGATGAAAGAAGCACATTTGTTAAAGGATAGATAATAGGTTGACATCTTGAATGTGCAGGGGGTCAACAATTAAGACTGAAGTTGGGGTGGATGGAAAATATGAAGAAGGAAAACTAATGGGGAAAAAAGCAGAAGATGGAGAGGAAGTCAAAATGGGCAACAAGGTATGCATGGAGATGAAAGGTAGGGGGATTGTGGTGTTTGGAAGTGCTATCAAGCAGGGAGATGTATTGTTCCAACAGTGTGTGAAATAAATATGCCCTATTCAATTTGAAGGAGCATCACATCTGATCACCAAAACTGGCAGGACACTAGAGGCTGGCAAACTAAAGATCTGTCTCCTTAATATCAGAGCTAGGAAATATATATACATATCAGGGATATATATATATATATTTGGGACTATAATTTCCAGAATCCTTTTGAAGTACATTTTGGGAACCGAAGTCCAAAAAATAAAAATCAATAACCCTCCAAAAAACGTCTCTGAGCAATGCTCAAGGCCTACCACAGTTGCAAATGACTTTGCTTCTCCTCAGCAAAGACCACCTGTAGGCTGGCTGTACATATCATAGCTCCACGCAAGACAGGGTGTGTGGGTGAGGAATGAGATAGCAAGAAGAAGAGGATGGCTGCTGACTCTCCTACTCTGGATGCTGCTTTGATGGTGACTTCCTAATGGTTACAAAGGACCTGCTCCACCCTGCTCACACAACAATGTGCTAGTTGAAGTTGTTCTGTGGCTGTTCACATTCAGGAGACTGCTTTTTCTTCAGCATGTACTGATTTGTTTAAAATATTTTTAAAAAAATAAGGGAGAAGGAGCCTCGTGGTGCAGTGGTTAAACTGCTGTCCCGCAGCCAAAACTGTGCCCACGACCTGGGGTTCAATCCCAGGTAGCTGGCTCAAGGTTCGCTCAGTATTCTATCCTTCCTAGGTTGGTAAAATAGGGGGGGGGGCAATATGTAGCCTGCGTAATTAACTTGTAAACTGCCCAGAGAGTTCTTGAAGCGCTATGGGGCGGTATATAAGCAGCACGCTTTGCTTTTGCTTTGTTTTGGTAGTGTGAAATCTGAAGAAACCACTAATGATCATTGCTTGTAAATAGTGGGGCCACAGTCCTAATCCTCCACTGACTCATCAAAGGTTATTGGAACACTTCTTTGTCTATTCTGGGAATTATAGGCCCTTTGACAGTGAAGCAGATATCCCATGGGCCCAGGGGGCGACAATTACCTGTTGGTTACAGTGCTTCTAATTTCATGCGGTTGTGCAGCCTCCCTGGAAAGGTTAATACTTCTGAAGGGCAAGGCTTGTGCAGGACACCTGTTCCTGTCCATGCTGGTCAATGTAAGGCAGCCCAGTCCCTTGCTAAGAGAAGCTTCTTGTTCCATCAGGAGGCAGTGTCCGGGTTTCAGGACACATAGCACAGTTTATTGGGTCTTTGGTGCCCAGGACATTGGCATAGACAGATATATACAGACACAAGTTGACAGACCAAAAAGGTGGCCCTCGGTGCCTATGTTGGCCACATCCATGAATTTACAGAGTCATCCAAGAGAGAAGTCATCCCAGAAGAAAAGGATCAAGCATGTCCACAAAGCAGATACAGTGGTATTGCTACATGCATGCTCAATGACCACTGACCCTTTTTACCTGAGTGTGTTTTGTTATTGCCACAGGTAGCTTTCCCCCATGCTTTGAAAGCAATACTTCCTTCATCACCCTTATTGTCATCACCTCTCCCAAAATCTTTCAGCTATCATGTGACACCTGTTGTCTTAACTCCTGGCTCCTGCTTTCCAGATGTGCCCAAATAGGCAACAACGCCTCCGTTCAAGATGCTAGGCTTCTCTATCTACAAAAAGGTTTGGACAGCTTCCGTGGCTGCTAAACTTGAACACCTGCAAATAGAAATCATAATCACATTGGACAGTTATATATTTGCATGTTCGTTACACAGTTGTTTGGAGGGCTGTTTTTGGCACAATTTTGCACTGAACTATTGCCAGTGTCTGGAACAGAGGGGTAAAATGAACAAAACTAGAGAATGCCTGAATATACCCTGAACCATGACTGAAAGAAGCAACTGCACAGCCCCCTGCATATGTTCTTCACTTTACAGCAAATACTACTGGCACATTCTGAGTTTGTTCTCTGTTAATACAAGGGCCAGATACTTTTTTTAAAAAAAGGATTTTGAAATTCTTAAGGAGTTGATCACAGCTGATCCTGGAAGGGTCTTTAAATGGTGTAGATTTTCCGAGGCCCTTCCTAAGATACACAGTCTCCTCCCCCACAACACTCGTTTGGCACGGTGATCTCCCTCAGCATGCCCGTGACTGAGCTGTCCTTGTCCTGTTACACTCGTGGTGGTGGGACACAGCCATTGAGCACTGTGCAGGCATGCAGGGCAGTTGGGCTCTTGGCATCTGGCACACATGTCCTAAACCCAGAAAAGAACTTGAGCCGTTCTGTCATTTCCAGGCAGAGCTTGGGCCGAAGACACTCTTTCCAAGTCACATCTCCCATTCCTCACTGTCTCCAAATCCAGATCCTCTTCGCTTTGCAGTGTAGGTGTCTCCAGGACAAAATTCAGAAAGATCCCGTAGATGCCAAGGGAAGATGTTTGAGCCTGCTTCAGAAGTTGCTCTCAACTGTGTCAGGGAACCCATAGCATTGGGGCTGCCATGTTCCACCTGCAGCCAAGTTCTCACTGGCGCTGCAGCCTGTCCTCTCCAGATACTGTGTGCTAGTATGGACAGTGGCTTGGCTGCGGCCCAACCCATTGAGGTAGTTGCCAACCAGTTTGTGCTTCTCAAAGGTGCTGGCACCTCCATTACGAACATTGGGCGTGTGGCTGTAGGTGTGCTTGTACTCCTCTTCTATGTCCCAGCCGAGTTTCCAGCGGGTCCATTTCTTTTTGAGCTCTGACTGTACCTACATGGACAACACACCATGAAAGACCAGGGTCAAGCTGTTTTTTGGTACCCTATTTTTATTCTAGCTTGTAAATTACCATAAAACTGTTCCCAGTGAACGGCAGGATGCAGGAATACTAAAGGTCTCTAGTAATCTCACATGTATAATGGAAGTTGGATCTAGCAAATGCGTCCATTTAAACTTTCATGTTAACTTCTTATTTTCAGTGGAGAGATGCATGGGAAGAGACATGATTTCCCTCCTGCAACCTTTCCCCCCTTTGCAACCCTCCCCCCCCATTCCAAAACCAGCCATGTGGACTAGACCTCTGTAGGGTTGACATAAAACACGGAAAACACAGTGGTGGGAGAGAGTTGCAGTCAAAAAGCAGCAAGCAGAGAGAAGGTGAAGTCCTGCCTCTCTTGCTGCTGCTTGACGGAAAATCACCTTTTCTCGAAGCTGTTTTTCTCTTGAAGCAAAAGGTAGAGGCAACATATTAGGTACAGAAAAAGTAAATGTGTCCAGTGCTGCACAAATCCAGCTCAGGAAACAATTCCTTTCGGGGACTGAAATTGGCAGAGTTCCTGCTGTAGCTTTTCTTGTACCCATTACTACTATGTGATTTAAGCTGGGTGGGCACCCTGTCTCTCAATGGACTTTACATCTCAGTCCAACAGTGCCTCTGACATGGTTTACAAAAAGCAGGTACAAATTCTGCTGTCCCTCCTACCCCACAACTAATCCATCTGCTTAGCAGCCTGTTTCCCATATCTTCCTTACCCATGTTTGCACACTTACCTCTTTGTTCACAAAGCAGTAGAGAATGGCCACCAGCATTCCCTAGGTAGAGAGAGAGCAATTCATCAGAATAAGGCTATAGTACACACACACACATACACACACACACACAGAGAGAGAGAGAGAGAGAGAGAGAGAGAGAGAGAGAGAGAGATTTACATCAACCCATGATTCTGAAAAACCATGAGAGGAGGATTCCTGTGTCTCAGTGTCTCACCTGGAAAGAGCTGAGGAAGAGGTCAAAGAAGAGCTTGACATAGCGCAGGGTGCCCTGGGCATGCTCATCAGTGACAAAGGCGAAAACCACTTCATGGATCCCCAACAATGGAATCAGTGTCAGTGTTGACTTGGCAAGCCTAAAGGGGCACCAGCAGATTAGAATTCATCTCAAGAAAAAAGCTCCCATCACCCAGAAGCCAGCCAGAACTCCCCATGGGCTTCCTAACCAATGGAGAGGCAAAAGGGCTTATGGGTAGGGGGAGTCTAGGAATCCCATATTTGTGGCCAGTGCAGAAACCCACCAAACAGCCACAAAATCCACCTGGACATGTCGGAACAGATTGCAAGGGCAATTTCTAAGTTAGAAGATATCCGGATGCCTCAGGCGGGGGCAGAAGAAAACATTCCCATCCTAGGGGGAGCCCTGGCCTTGTCGGAAGAGGAGCCCGTACCGGAACTTGTAGTCTGTGTAGCGCATCTGGTGGGCACGGAGCTTAGAAACCAAGATCTGAATGATACGGATGAAAATGAAGACATTTATCTGGAAGAGAAAAATCAGAGAGGTGACGGATGGGAAACAATAAGCAGTGAGTCGAGACAGGTTTACAGAAAAGATCTGGTGAACTTTTGGAAAGAAATATTACTTAACTCTGAACTCCTTCTATCATCACAGTGGTTTGTGTAAAACCTCCACTCCTTTGGCCATTGATCACATCTGCACAGCTTTATCAGTGCTATAGGACTGGGGTTCCCAGCACCTTTAAGAGGACACTGGTGTGTGCCATATTTGGGTGTTGAATTACCTTTAAAAACACTGTAGACATGCTGAACTGTGGCACCTACAAGCCAGTTCACAGTCTAGGTCATCTGGATTTTGCACTAACTGGAGAAGCCAGGGGGGTGGGGGTGGAGGTGGGGAGGTAGGTGGTAGCCAGGCAGGCCATTTACCATTTCAGCTGGGAACAGTAGCCACAGGCCTATTTGAATAGGAGGGATCTTGCCTCAGTTAACCATGCACTAGTGACTTCCTAACAGAATTCCTGAAATACGCTCAGATAAATTAGCCGATAGAGACTACAGTTGCCCAAATGCTCGTGAGGGTGTGGCAGTCAGGCCAGGTAATACTTAAACTTGGAAAGGTTATTTCTTTTGGCTGCCAGAATCCGCCAGTCATGGTGGGCACTGGCCATGCTGACCTCTGGGATTTTGGCAGCTGCCATCAAAAAATGGGCTTTTGCCCTTTCCTACTTTAAATGCCCAGGAGCACATGATTTGAAGAACTGCCTTCAGCTGCATCAGCCTGCCTATCAACTGAGGTAATTTTTGGAAGCTCTTCTCACATGTATACACATTAGAATAAACAAGTTGGCAGGCCTCAGGAAGAGGGCTTTCTTGGCATGGCGCACACACCCCTTTTGCAGAACATGCAACTAATTGGGAGTGTCCCAGACCTCATCATTTGTTATTGTTATTATGTGCTACTAAGCCACTTATGACTTAAAGTAACCCTATTGATTAAGGACCTCAAAATGTCCTTTCATTAATAGACCTGCTCAGCTCCTTGTATTATGCCAGTCTATCTCTTATTCTGTCTTCCTCTTTTTCTGTGGCATTCAACTTTTCCCAGCATTATTGTCTATTGCAGCACAAGGCTTAAAATCACATCTAACTTCCATTCAAGTGGTTCCCGCCTTTCAGTTCATTTATTGGTCTATTGAATAAAAATTATAGTACCTGTAACTGTGCTACCTATAACTGTTACTGGCTTTCAGAATTTGTATTGGGCTGGATATTTTAATCTAAAGCTGTTGCTACTACTGCTTCTCTATAATGTTTTGAAATTTTATGTAAGTGATTTATTAGAGATTGCCTCAAGAGGGGTTTTAGCCTAATAGAATGCATATGCAATTTTAAAATAAAAATTTTAAGACAAGATTTAGGCTGGCAACATAATCTTTTGACATTTTTATACATGAGATTTAAATTACCCAGCCTCCTGTTCATTTTCAAGAACATACATAGAAAGAAATCACAATCAGGAAAATGATGCCACATTTGGAATCTGCTAAGAAAAAATACTTTGAACAATGCTGTTGGCCTCTGGGACAAACAAAGAACAGATAAAACTCACAAAGATGGCCAGAAAGACAGGGAAACGCAGGATCCACCAGAACCCCATGTTATTGTTGGTACTCCAGCATCTTGAAAAAGAAAGGAAGAAACAAAAGACTCTGTAAGGACAACCAAGTACACATGTGTCATCCTTCCCCCACCCCAACCCCAAATTCTCTTGCAAAATAAGGCCCTTACCCTAATGGCCTCTTCATGCATGGGATAATTTGCTTTTCTTAATTACCTACACTGTGCATGAATGTCATCTGTTAAGATGCCTATTGGATGACAGAGGAAATGAGGAAATGTGGAGAGCCCATGACCTGTTGGCTCACCCACCTCATCCATTTTCCCTAGTACATGACTCGCTGGAACTTACTGGATATTTTCATAAAGAAATTTCACGACTACCCATGGCACAATAAAGAGAACTGGAGCTCCTGCAAAAAGAGGAGAGAGAATTTTACATACATACATACATACATACATACATACATACATACATACATACATACATACATACATACATACATACATACATACATACATACATACATACATACATACATACATACATACATACAGGTATTTGATCTTCATTATTAGTCTAAAGTCTCCCAAAAGGGCCCGAGATGCCAATCACACAGACAATGGCATGATTGGTATTTCAAATGTAAATGGCAGGGGGAGTCCTGATATGGATTCAGAGCCTGCTGTGCAGGCAGCAGGGTTTTGAGGGGCACCTAGTCTCCCTCCCCACAATTGGCACGGCAGGAGGCGAAGCTCTCATTTTCTCTCCTGGAAGCACTTCTTCCTCAGTGCAAATATTGTATCAGGTTTGAGTCCAGATCAGGACCGCGCTAGGAACTGCTAAATCGCCTCAGGATCTAAAGGCCAGTATTTTTTTCCCTCACACACATATACACAGTGTCTGCCGTTTACTTCTTTAAAAACCAATCATGCCATGAGAGAGAGGACCACTGCTGCCTATGTTAACAGATGTTAATTTTCTCTGTCCCACTGGACAGCAGTGCTTTGAAAAAAATTCACCTGGCCAGAATGTTAAGGAGAAGCTTGGAAGGCAACAAATGACTGTCATGCCGCTTTCAGCTCTCTCTCTCAAAAAAAAACCCCACACCATAATGCGTCGGTCCAGGTGGCGATCCTTGCCTTTAAGGACAGACTTTATTAAGCATAAGGGATGTTGTGTTGTGGCTACCAGGAACAGCAGTATTTCCTTCCCGTGTCTCCCTGAGCATGTCTAAGAAAAGAAGGCACATTGCACAGTGTTATCACACTTACAATGTGCTGTTGCACTAATTAGGAAAAGGTGGGCATGTGATGCTTAAATCATTTGCCAAATTCAGTAGAAACCGCCCTGACCTCCTTTGGACTCACATAACTAGTCAATCTGGCTTTCACAGTTCTCAAGTGTCCTGATACACTTCGTCAATCAAAACTGGATCAAAATACACTTGCAAAAAAGCATTATTAAATGTATATTCAGAGACCAAAATGTGTGTTTTAAGAGAAAAAAATGTGTCTAGAAACAAGAATTTAGATACCAATTTTATGCAGACATCTTACAGTCACAGATTAGTGTGAAAACAGTAATGTATTCTGGCTGAATACATGAGAAGGTAGCATGTATTGGCAACAAGACAGGGACTGATTCTTGTTTTCTCAGCCAATCCTGAGCAGAAAGGCATCATATGCTCAGTAGATGGTACTAGGATGACCGAATGGGAAGGTGCGGTTCCTGTTCTAGGTAGCAGTGCTGCTTCCCTCATAAGGTAGACTGGCGCTCCGAGAAAGCAACAAGCTAGCTCTTTGCAATACAGCTGGTATCCATAGGATGGCTGGCCATCCTTCTAAGAGGAGGAGCAGTTCGGAACCAAGTCCCTGAACACTCTACGCAGTGCTCTCTCCTCCCCATAACTGAGAGACAATAAGCCATAGGCTCTTTCGTCACAACCAAGAGGGAACATCTGTGCCACTTCCTGCAATGCGTCATCCGTGTCCTTCCTTCTGTGCCTTTCCCATAGGAGGCCGGCTCTCTTTCTCCTTTTCCAAGGAAAGAGTCAGTGAATCGCATAGCCTACGGAGCACCTTTCTGCGCAAATCCTCACCCCAACCGATGCAGAGGTAGAGCGTGAAGTAGCTGCGTTCAGAGAAGACGGCCAACACGAGCAAGTTGTGCAGGTAGATCCCCTCCACCAGCAGCCAGCCGTAGTTGGCGATAATGCCATACTGCATGAACACCGTGGCTGCCCGGCAGCCTGCTGCTGCCTGAGGAGAAAGAGGAGGGTCAGCAGGAAGAGCAAGAAGGGCTGAAAGCGATGGTCTGGACACAAAGGGGTGTGAAGATATCGCTACAGGGGGCAGTTTCCTGTGAGCAGCATTTGGCCACACCTCGTAGCCTATCTACTTCAATACAATTTCCTCCTGAGGTACAGGACAAAATGGTCACCATCACCCCTCGGTTACCACACAGAAGCCGCTTGGCTTAACAGCTGAATCTGACTTCAGCACTGGCAACAGGAAATCATCCTCTGTAACAGTGAGCAGAATAATGCAGAGTGTGTGAGACATCCTGGCTGGTGTATTTGGCCCCATCCCCCAAAGAAGGGATGGGGTGGGGACACCCAGGAGGCATGGCTGGAAAGCTACCATTGCTGCTTTCCACCTACCATGAAAGGCAGTTGCGTCACTTTGCTGAGTAGTAAGGCCGGCCCAGTGACATAATTTTGTAGTTGGTCCTTCATAAATAAAAGCAGCTACTATAGGAGATCTTTTAGTCCGACTCAGCAGTACAGTGTGGAGGGACAGGGGCAGGGTGGGAAGGGAAGGGAAAAATAACTTTCACAACTTTCACTAGAGTCTGCCTGTTCTTGAAAATATTTTTAATTCCTGCCTTGAACAAACAGGGGATTGCAGTCAATAGCCTTATAGGCCTCTTCAGACTCCATTATTATATGGTTCTATGGATTAGACTCATGCCTTATCATATAAATGAGTGAATGGAAGTACTCAAGCAAGGACAGTTTGTAAAGGAGGCTCTTTGTGCAGGGGAGGGCAGTGGTGTGGTTTAATCTGAACTAGACCTTAACTTCTGTACCGGCTTTTAGTTAGCTAACTAAAATCATGTTAGAGGGACTGGGATACAATGCAGGTTTTATTTTTACATTATGAATTTGCTTAACTCATTTAATCACATTAACTGGCATGCCCCAAGAAAGCCCTGAGAAAACATCCTGAGCCTTTTCACTCATTCCTGTTCCTCTGGGTGTGAAAACCACCGAGCTCAGCCTCGGGTGCAGCTGCAGAGTATCGCGGGAAAGTCAACAGATTGTTGTACATGAAGGGGGAGCAGTGGGGTAAGGAGGAGTGCCTTGAAGCACCCTGCCTTGTGTAGAGGAACCCAAAAGATGATGTCATTCCTGCATGTCAATCAAGGGATAAAGCAGGAGGGGCGGAGTCAGGGTGGCAGTTAAGACAGCTGGAAGAGACAGAAGTCAGTTGGAATAAGATAGGGATAGAGAGAAGCAGGGACAAGAAGATGTGGTGAGAGTGCTAGGGTTTAGGAATAGATAAGAAGGGGTTAAGAAAGGAAATTGAAAGAGTAAAATATATTGAACAAGCAGGAATGAACACATAAGCATAACATAAGGAATACCAGTGACTGAATACATGATTTAATTTACTGTATTTGCCCATGTATAAGGCGACTGGGTGTATAAGACGGCCCCCCCAACATTCCCACTCAGAATGTAGAGTTTGTTATATACTTGCTGTATAAGACTACCCCCTCTTCCGCATGCGTGATTCTGCTTTGGCTGCATCATGGGGAGAGTTCCTTTTGCCCCTTTTGGTTCCTTTTCGGAGAGAGCCAGGGGTTGCTGGAAGAAGGAACAGCAGAGAGGTGGCAGCCATTTTGAGAGGCAGCAGCCATGTGGTCGCATCTCAAAATGGCTGCCGCCTCTCTGGTGTTCTGACAGTCAGCTGTTCGGAGCTAGAGTCAGGCTGTTCCCAGGCTAGGAGCAGGGCTCTACTGGGTCTTACTACCAGTTAAGTGACTTCGCTGGGAGAGAAGGAGGGTTTGCTAGACACGCACCCGGCGTACAAGACAACCCCCCATTTGGAGGCATGTTTTTCAGGGCCAAAAAGTCATCTTGGGCAAATACAGTAAGCATACCTGACCCAGTTATATATTTGATTCTCCTTATGATTTTATTCATTAATAAAAGAATATTTGATCAAACCCTTTGATTCCTAAATTATATGATCAGCTCCTATGTGTGTGAGATTTGAATTGGTATTAAGATAATACCTGGTGGCAGCGAAAAGGACGTATTTACCTTTGTGGAGCCCAGAGAAATAAGGGACCACAAGGGGGATCGCCACACCTTGTAATACAGAAGGAGAGAAGGAAGAGGGGGAAAGGAAATAAGCTAAGTATATAAAAGGGGAGAGCTGGGAACGAATGTGTCACCTCATGACTCAGCCAGAGACCGACATTGTCATCATCGTCAATCTTCTCACTGTAGCGAGTGTTGAGCAGCGCGTCAATGATAAGCACCGAGATGCCCTTCAGGATGAAGGAGGCGAAGAGGTTCATGTGGATGTAGTTGCGCATGCAGTGCAGCTTGCTGGAGAGCAGGGAGCTTGTCAACAATGCCGGTCCCGCAGGGCTGGCACCCTGCCGTGCCGCACCCTCATCCACACCTCGGCCTCCCCGCTCCCCAAACCCCTGCCGCCTTCGCCCAACTCTTCCTGCCTGGAGCTCCCCACTACTTGCTCCTAATGCCAGTCGTGCTCCCATTCTTAGTACTGTACGCACCCCATCGGCTCTCAGTGTTATTGACAGAACAGAAGTAGCTGTGGGATCCAAGCTGAGGGTGGCTGCCTCTCATTAATTGATACAGCTACACATTTGTTTGTTTAAAATAGTGTACAGCTCTTCATTTGTTTCTTTTAATGACATGGAAAGTGCTGCCTTTCCTATTTCTAAAAATCCCTTGTGCTCTCAAGACAGCAAAACCAATTTGCAGTCATTATTCTTGAGGTATGCACTGCTGCTACATTCTTTGGAATACCTATGGATCCACAACCCCTGCTCAACAGAGCAACTGCAGAAGGAGAAAGTTAACCTAATCATTTTAAAAATCTAGTTGAATGTATACCAAAAATGCAGCTTAAAATAAAACTGATTTAAAAACAGAGCAACACACTACAGTATATGTAATGTTGTTCTCTTGCTCATAGCACTCGCCCTATTGGTTGCTCCCAACATTACTAAGTATAGAGGAAACTGAACCTCTCCAGCACTATTTTATTACTTTTACACATGAAACACACAACTCCCTCAACCGGTTGTCAGACATGGTCTGAAGTTGGGAGACAACCTCCCTTCTTTTTAAGTGGGCATAACGGAATCTCGCCTAATGATCTCACGTTCCCCCCCCCTTTCCACTCAGGATTCTGCCTCCCAACAAAACTCAGTCCTCCTCCTCCTCCTCTTCCACCATTCCCAGTCCAGTTTCCAAGGCACCTGAAGCCTAGCAGCACAGCCAGGGCAAGGAGCAGGGCACAGAGCGACACGGAATAGCCAACGGTGTACATCACCTTGAAGCTACCGTAGATCTTAGCAAACCTCTCCTGGAAAGAGAGAGAGAAAAAAGAGAGGATTCTGGCCCTCTGCTGTCAAGGGATCCACCATGTATGGAAATGGAGGCAGGGTAGGGACGTAGTCTTACAGACGTCCCCAAGGCCCACGTAGGCTTACCTGGTCTGAGATGGTTTTATTGTCCATCACACACTGATGAGCATCACGCATTGACTTCCCTTCAGGGGTAGTCACCCATTGCCCATCTGGGCCACACTTCTTAAATACATAACCATGCTTCACTGCAAGGAGAAAAAGGTTGTTATTATTGTATTCATCTTCATGTATGAACCATACATGTCCTGGTTCTCGAGCAGTTCTGGTTATTTTTCAATTTCTTGCATGCTTGGGTTCTGCCTGCAACCCTGGTCCTTCTGTATCCCTCCTTCATTCTCCTTGCTTACTTCCCCTCATTTCTCTTGGAACCCTAGAATTTTTGCGGGCTCACTCTGCTGACCCCCCCCTTCTCCCAGGGCATATCATACCTTGGTCATACCAGGGCAGGAACCAGGGGCAGGAAACATTGACTGTGGTGTTTGGTTGTGCATCAGGCCAGCAGGAGTACTTGTCAAAGGTTCGGTTGCAGACCAGCTCTGTTGAAGAGAAGAGAGAACCGACCCTGTAAGGGTTATTGTTACATTTTTCACTTTTTTCATAATTAAGGTACTTATTTATAGATCTCTTTCTTTATTTAAAGGGGATCCACTACCAGAATTTGTCCTTGGGCTACATTACTGGACCACATACATTGATGTGCCTAGTAACTCATCCCTCCTCTGGGAATCTACTGCACTTTCTTTTAAAGGATGAGACATCATCTCTGTTCGTTTTCATATACTGTATATCCTAATTTATGTGACCTCCTTTCTCTGGGCACACATTGCTGTAAGTACAGTAGTTCTTTTAGTCCTTCAAACTTTGCAGATTCTTGCCCCTATCCACCACAGCCTGAGGCGTGTATAAGTGTGTGTGGCTCCAACATGCAGCTGCTCATTGCCTAGCAAGAGAGCTGAGCTTGAACAAGCACACAAACAAACAACTGGGTGGGAAAAACTGACTCAGCTGTGCTTTTAAATGCCCCCTGCCGGGCCAGCTGACAACTTTGCTGCCTGAGGTAAAGCAGTGAACGACATTAAATCCTACATGTCTCCCTCCCTCCCGCACCCTGGCAAATATAATCATACCCATAGTAAAATATTGCAGCAGTTAATCCAACAGCTGCAAATCGACTGCCCTTTTTACAATCTCTCAAAGCAGCCACTGCAGTGACTGTTTCATTGTCCTTAACTTTAGGGCTGGCCCCAATGTTCCCCTGAAAAGTGGGGGACCGACATCCAGCGGACCCCTATCTCACCAGCAGGTGGGGGTAGAAGGCTCATGTTCCGGTGGCACTCCTCGCTGTAAGCCTTCCAGCTCTCAAAGAGGTAGTCCATAATCTGGGCGGAGGGTCCCTGCGGGGAAAGGACAGCCCAGAGGAGGCCTGGCGTGAGAATGTGTATGAAGGATGAGGTACGGGGTGGTGGGTGGCGAGAGGGACCGAGGCCCTTACCTGGAGGCACAACACCAGCACCAGCAGGACACTGAGGAGGCGCAGTGGGCACATCTCTCTGGAGGGGGACGAAACCGCATTGGGCTCCTCCAAGAGCGGTGGACTTGCTACAGAATCTCTTGGCGCCGGTTGAACAGGAAACCTGCAAAGCACAAGGTGGGTGGGATTGGAAAGAATCCCCTGGGCTTGAAGGCTTCTCACTGCGCCTGTGTGGACCCCTGCCTGCAAGGTGGATGACGTCAGGCGAGGTTGGGTACATTCAGATACCCTGCCTCAGTGCCAGGAAACTGAGTGTTGACAGTGACCTCTGAGGAGGAGCGAATATGGCCCCTGCAGTCTCCACCCGGGTCAGGTGCTTGGTGCCTGTGGGTGCTCTGACCTGATCTCCGGTTGGTGCTGGGGGCTCTCTGACCCTCAGAGAAGCCGGAGGAGTGGAAGACACTCCAGCCAAGGGGCCTGTTTCAGATGCCAGGCACTGTAACTAGAGCTTGTTGGACGGGCAGGTGGGGGTGGAGGGGGAGAGCAGGAGAAGGAGGTATTTCTGGGCTGGATTTGGTTCCAAGCTGAGTGCCAGGGGAGAGACGATCCACAGCGATGCGGCACAAGGGGCGGTGGTGCTTTCTCTCCACTTCAGAACACCCCAGCCACATGAGCCTCACGAAACTTCCTATGCCCCCACTCACTCCTTAGCCCCAGTGAGTAGCACGTGACGGGGAGGGGCCTTGGGCAGCCCAACCTCGCCAGACATGAGGTTTGCTTTTTTTTAAACCCCACTTTGAAACAGCTTAGCCTAGTTTTACTAGGTTGGTCTAAATAGTCAACCCAGCAACTGGCTCGCTGAAGAAGCAAGGTGGAGCCAGGAGAATCCTCTAGCAGATGCTAGACTACAGTTCCCATAATATTTCATCACGCAGAGGCAGTGGCTAAGGCTGATGGGAACTGCCATTCAAATTTTCAATTTGCACATCTCTCATGTCTCCCACAGTTTCTTTTTCTATCTTTTCTTATCCCAGAAGAAATCTGTTACTGCACAATATTTTTTTAGCTGCAAGAAGAAGAAGGCCTCTGGTTAGAATCACCCAACACATCTGAGGATGGAACAGATGTTATAGGTAGTCCCTAATCAGAGCTGAAAGTATATTAATGTTTCAGAGAAATAACCGAGGCAATCTTTCCACATTACTAAAATTAGACTTCAGAGAAACCTGTGCTTAAGCCATGAAGACTAAGCACCAAATAAAGCAAGTTAATTTGCAAACTCTGGGAGGTGGGAGAAGTTCATGCTATGACACTCACTCAGATGCTTTCGTTAGTTAAGAATTTTTCTTCTTCAATCACAAGCCTAATCTCTAAAGTCTATTTCTGGCCTGGGAGCTCTGGAATTATGACGGAGAAATCATGCTGTTGAAAGGATCCAGCAGAGGGCAGTGTAACTGTGTAATTTCTTGCCTGTATCAGCAGGGATAGGATGTCACTAAGGGCCAAGAGAGCTGCACATAGGATGACCAGATGAAAAAGAGGACCCGTCTCTAGTTGAAGAGGAAATTTCAGCAGGTGCAGCTTTTAGTGCACACGACTATTAAAAAATACAGGGACACCATCGTTTTTTCCATCTGGCCACCCTTGCTCTGTGTGTTTATGGGAGCTGCGGTAGTAACAACAGTGTGTGGCACAGGAAGGTAAGGTGTGTTCCTTGGAGCCTCAGTAAGGAGGAGGGGTCTACAGGGGAGGAGACCTCTTGAAGCTTGCTGAGGTTATATGCCCTGATGCCCAGCGCCATGATCTGTTCATGGACATTCCAGTTTGTGCATTCCAGTGTAGTGACATGACCCGAGCACATGCCAACGATGACTTTCCTTGCCTGGGGCAGAGTCAACAGCTATCTCTGCTCCTTCTCTTCCCTCCAGTCCCTGTCTAGGAAAACATTTCTTTAGGGGGAGGGACGAGCAGGGATATGCCAGCCCTGCTCTGCCTCTCCTCTGTTTACAGCTTCTGGCATAGCCCAGCAAAGGCCAGCAAGGCTTTTGTTAATCGTTAACACTTGCCAGGGATCAGATCCCCAGATGAGCCCAGAGACCTTGTTGTCTTGTAACTCCCCCCCCCCGCTTGCACCAGCCCCACATCCTCCTGTGGATAAAGCCCCCCCTCCACCCCCAGTTTGCCCAGAGATTGGCGTCATGACCAAAAAGGCGAAGCTGTGTTCCTGTGGGTGCTTGGGCAATGCTGCCACTGTGTTTGCAACCCATCCGGGATAAACTCAGATGCACACAAGAGCTAATTCCTTCAATCCCCCTCTAATCTGGCTAAAGGGCTCCTGAATGGGATCGCAGCATTCCTGACAAACAAACTATTCTTGCTGCTTGCCTTGGAGAACAACAGGCCCAGCCTTTGGCACTCAGTATCGCCGGAACTCTGTTGGGATTAGGAGAGTGCTCTTCCAGTTGCCTGAGGAAGAACAAGGCACATGGCCTGAAATGCCAGCATCGATTACCTGTCGTGCCCTGGAGCAGGGGTGGGCCATTGGGTAAATCTCCGGGTGATTTGCACTAGATCTGCAAGGGCTTCTGACTGCCACTTGTCTGGTAGCAGAAGCAGCCACAACAAGAAAAAGAAGCTATCCTTCACGTCACAGTATCCTGATGAAATTAAGAAATGTTGTAGAAAACCAGGAAGATGGAAGGAGTGTGAGTTCAGTTCTGATGCTGAAAACAAAACTTTGTTGTCAGCAACAAGCTTGGGAGCACTCATTTCTTAGTTCTATTAAGTATACGAACACTCCACTCCCAGCTACTGATTGTAACAAGTACAGTACCAAGTCAGGAATCAATGTCCTGAGAGAAAACCATCTTTTAGACATTAGGCGACAGCATTCTTCCAAAAACATGAAATAGTGAGGACACTGAGATACTCAGTTTGGTATAGTAGATAGACAGAGTGATGGACTCAAGAGACCTGGGTCTGAATCTCTTCTGCAAGGGAAACTCAACTGGCAAAACTTTGAAAGCTCCATCAGGGCCATTATAAGTCAGTTCTGCATATGACACACAGTGGAAACATACTTATTCTTACACCCTTTCTTTCAACTTCCCAGACGTTCTGCTGCTCAACTCTTGGAGAAGCTCCTAACAAGAAAAGGAGTGCAAGAAGAGTGGAAGTTTCTAAAAAAGGAAATTCTGAAGTCACAACTATTAAAAAAAGGAAATTCTAAAGGCACAACTATAATAATTCCAACACGAAAAAAGGTGGGAGAAAGACACAAACAGCATTCAAAGTGATCCAGATAGGTTTGAGCACTGGGCAGAAAACAAAAGAATTAAATTGAACAGGGATAAATGCAAAGTACTGCACTTAAGAAAAAGAAACCAAACACACAGTTACGAGACAGGGGATACCTGGCTCAGCAATAGTAGAGAGAAGGATCTTGGAATCATTGTAGATCACAAGCTGAACATGAGCTAACAGTGTGATGTGGCTACAAAAAAGACAAATGCTATTTTAGGCTGTATTAACAGAAGCATAGTCTCCAAATCCCATGAGGTACGAGTTCCCCTTTGTTTGGTACTGCTTAGGCCTCATCTTGAGTACTGTGTCCATTTCTGGACACCACACTTCAAGAAGGGTGCTGACAAATTGGAACAAGTTCAGAGGAGGGCAACAAGGATGATCAAGGGTTTGGAAACTAAACCCAGTGAGGAAAGATTGAAAAACTGGGCATGTATGGCCTCGAGAAAAGAAGACTGAGGGGAGATATGATCACACTTTTCAAATACTGCACTTGAAAAGGGCAACGTGGATGATCAAGGGGCTGGAAACTAAACCCAGTGAGGAAAGATTGAAAAACTGGGCATGTATGGCCTCGAGAAAAGAAGACTGAGGGGAGATATGATCACACTTTTCAAATACTGTTCTTGAAAAGCTACAGCGGAGGGGCAGGATCTGTTCTCAGTCAACCCAGTAACAGTGGGCTCAAGTTACAGGAAGCCAGATTTTGGTTGAATATCAGGAAAACTTCCTAACTGGTTAGAGCAGTACGGCAGTGGAACCATTTACCTCAAGAGGTGGTGAGCGCTCCAATACTGGAGGCATTCAAGAGAAATTTAGACAACCATCTGGCAGATACCCTTCGATTCATATTCCTGCCTTGAGCAGGGGGTTGGCCTTGAGGGCCTTTTAGGCCCCTTCCAACTTTATAGGCCCCTTCCAACTTCATGGTTCTCAGATTCTAGGATTTAGGAAGACCTCCCCCAGTTTAGTTCCCTCCTGATATGTTAGGCTGCAGCCCCATAAACACCAACTAGCTGGGGGTGATGAGAGCCATACTCCAGCATATCTAGATTGCGAAGGCTGTTTTAACTTGTCACCTTTACTCTCACTCTGCTAATTTCAGGTGTCTCACAGAGAGACCATAAATGTGCTACGACCAGAGAAGCAAGCTGTGGCTAATAAAATACTAGTACAGAGTTAGCAAAAAACCAGAATTGGTAGTTGTTGTTCTCTGCAGATATCTGAAGAACTAATGGGCTGTGCATTAAATCCAAAGAAGCATACCTTTTTAAAGGCTAAAATAAGCCTTGGCATTTTGATTCACCTATTATTAAGATTCACAATGTGCTTCCAGGTTCCATTCTAGAAATTAACTTCTACACCATGCACTGCAGCCATCGAAAGGCAAGCTGGCGGCTCCCCATTTATAATACTCCAAGCCTCCACAGAACATCTCAAAGGATAAAGGAACTGGATGGCACACGTCCAGTGTATCCTCTAACTAATATTTTAAAATATTCTTCTCCAACTTTAGAGACAGCTATCAGCACCTGGTCCTGAGGACTATTCCCAGGGCTATCCCACCCCCACCCTGCTCCTCTCACCTCCCCCTGCAGTTATTTTTAGCCCTGGGAAAAACCATGTTTCCTCTCTGTTGCAACCCCTAATTGCTACTGCAGTCTGGGAGCTGGGAGGCTCATTAATCAGGGGTGGGAGGAGGCCAGCAGAGCTAGAAGCTGTACTCTGCTGCCGGGCTGAGCTTTCTCCATACAGTATTTAGATAGGGGCCAAGCAGATGTGTCTGTCAAGAGGAACCCTGCCCTGGCAGCAGGGCCCAGAAGCTTTGGGAGAACCAGGACAAATCCTGCCATCCCAGAT